TCTTTTTCAATATTCTTTCCAGATTCCACAAGCAACCCTTCCTTGCCACCTTTACAAGCGGAAAAGAAGGGGACGGACAAATTAACGTTACGTGTTGGGAGTACGAAACTAACGTGAGAAAAACAACAAGGTGCGCCCGTTTGAAAGCACTACGCGACAGTTTCCGATTGTTATTATCCAATGTTATTTATCCAATACAAAAAATCTAGCACGTAAAGGCCCACTTTCACGAGGTGCTCACGCAAAAGTTGCCTAGATTAGGTCAATTGTCCGATACGATAATTCAAGGTTGGAAGAAATAAATGGTTAAAAATTATAAACTGCTAGAAAAACACACATAGGTCAAGACATTATTCATGTCAGTGGACAACAAGACTACTCAGGAAAAAAAGGAAATTTCCGAGTTCCCCCCAAAACAGGAAGTTGAGCCCTATGGGGACTTTCCGCCACCACCGGTCGTACGGCTTCTGACCACTGGAGCTACACGGACGGACTCGATGGGTAGCCTTAGGCCATACATGTATAAACTAGGTTCAAAATGTGGACAAACATCCCGCATACTGCTCAGGATTAGATTTGTCGATGAGTGAGAATTTTGTGGAAAGAAATGAATGGTATATTTTAAGCCTTGGTAGAAAATACGAGAAATGAATAATTATTTACTGTCAAGTGACACAAGCTTAAACTTGGAAAAAATAATTCCGAGTTCTCCCAAACAGGGAGACGAAAAACCTATGACCTTCCGCACACCGGTCGGACGCTCCTACCACTAAGCTACTAGGAGACTCGCGGGGAGCTTAGGCCATATAACACTAGGTTGCAAAGTTGCTGACAAAAAAAACTTCCCGCCATACTGGCAGGAGTTAGTTTTTGTTCTATATTTTGTAGAAAGAAACATGATGGGAAGGCTTTAGGGCCATATAACTACGGATTCCAATGTGACAAACATTCCGCCGATACTGCTTAGGATTACTTTTGTCTAAAGATTCATTTTTTCCCCCAAACACATTAGGAGGGACACAGGAGTGACTGGCCCACTGACTGAATAATAATTACTTTCTCAAGTTATTTCGTTGTTTTTTTTAACCTGTTTGCCGGCGACACTGTGGTGACCATCGGACTGCATGGTGTTGTTACTTCACCAAATACAGGGGACTTGCAGCTGACGGAAAAAATGTGCATTGTGTAATATCCACTGGCATGTCTGGAAAAAACAAAAAAAACCGATAACGGTAAAGTGGATTAAATCAATTACATGCATTACCCATACACAAGATACCTCTTACCGGAGTAAATGGCAGGGAACAATGTATATTTTGTGCCTCAGGTCGCGCGTAAAAAAAACTTCAGCGATTCGCCCCGCTTCGCCCACCACTCTACACGTGCCCTCGACACTCGTTCACACAACACGCGCTAGAACACGCCATTTAACACGCCAGTGTAACAAACCTCTAACATGCGTTCCACAAACAGGGGCGCTCGAGCACGCACTCGCCCACGCGTTCATCGCGCATTCGCCGCGGCATCTCGACGCGCCACTCCCACGCGCAAACTTCCGCAAAAACTGTCTTTGGTCCTTGCATGCAGAGTTGGATGGGAAATTGGGAAAGGGAACAAAAAAAAAAAAAAAAAAAAAACTGAGCAACACCAAAACAATTAGAATGGGGACGGAAAAAAAGAAATTTACCTGACAATGGGACATCCAAAAGCGGGGGAAAAGCAGAAGCTCGCCATTTCTATCCACCAATATTTACCTCATCTCCTATCCCTTCGTACGGAGGTGTCTGGTCGGATCTAACCAAACCCTAAAACCTTCTGCCAAGCTGTTCTTAGGAAGCAAAATGGACCAGGCAAGAGGCGAGGTCCCCCGGGACTGGACTGTAAAAATGAAGCTTTCTCTCCAAGGAGGGGGTTTACACCAGGCGGACAATGGGTGGGGGGGGGGAGTACTGTGGGGGGTTAGGGGTGCGTCGATGGGACCTGGGCGTCAGGAAGGTGTTTGTTGTGGAGACCAGGAACGAGTGGGTAGGGCGGGATGGGTAAAGCTGGTTTTGTAAATCACCCGGTGCGACGGGGACTGGTAAACCCCACCGGAAGCATTTCACTGTCGATGACAACGATTGGCCGCGCTGATTGGCATGGGAAGGTTCGTCAGGGGGGGCCCATGGCAGTGGTGGTTCTGTGGCGGAACTGAGTGGGGTAGGGCTTGGAAATGAAAGTGCTGAACCACTGGACTTCATATTAGCAAGGGAGAAAGTTGTGAAAATATCACCCTGACAATGAAAGTCAAATTTAGCCACAATGCCGTACGTTAAAATGGTTTTTTTAGTTATAATACCGAATGTACTAATTTAACCACTTTCCGTTTACGGTAGCTGTTTGTAACAAAAGACGTTACGGAACCAAGAAAAAGCCTTTTCTTTCATAATCTAACCAAGACCATATAAAGGGGAGTGTTTCCCGGTTCGGCGCATGTGCCCCACTCACCATGTACTTCTCGATACTTCAGTAAATCCCACCATACTATAATTAGTCCAAAAAAAACGGGACGAATGACCAAAATTCCCCCAAAATGTCAAACGCCATTACACCGACAATATCGACCGTTGAATACCAGAATAAAAATTTACAAGAATAAAAATCCTTTCGGGGCCCAACCACTTTATTTCTGGTAATTTATTCTGGTATTCAATGTCGACATTCTCGGTGTAATCCGTTGACATAATTTTTGTGAAATTTTGGTCATTCAATCGTTTTGCTTGGAAATAATTATTAATAAATAGTATGTGATTATTGAAGTATCGAGAAGTACATGTGCAACGTTGATAAGTCGGCACATGCGCTGAACCGTGGAAACACTCCCTGTAAACTTTTATGAATACAGTGGACCAAGCTGTATTGGCGAGATGACCGTTATTAGCGTTTACCGTACAATTACGGCCACCTCTGTTTTTTTATTTTTTTACCCGAACAAATTGAAGAACCCCTTTATGGACTTGTGGTTTATCACTTATCGGATCAAAAACAAAATTACTTTCCCAATCAGTCCCTTACTGTTTGGTCAATGTTCAATGAAAAGTCTTTAGGTAATGTAAACAATTCTATCATGGTATTCCACTGGGTTTTAATTTTAGAAAATTAAAAAAAATTTCAACATATTTTCATGGGAACAAAAAATCGCCGATATAAATTTGCAGTTACCGTCGACTTACCGGTTAATAAAAAAAAACTCCAGTGTTACTGACGAACGAGATACGAATGCAAGAGCAATTATATTTCAAAAGCTTATAATTTAGAAATTCAGCGTTAACAAGGGATTAAAGTTTCTCAAACTCATTTAATAATTCATCAAGTTACAAGGGAAAGGGTGTGGATACCTGATCTTCATTAGCATAGATTTTTTACGATTTTATTTCTCCGTTTACTCCTTAGTTTCAGTTTCGATTGAGAAGATATATCAAACACTCGAGACAGTGTTTTCATCCGATTTCCAAACACCTCAAATTTCGTCAAAAAAAAAAAAATACTCCACTATGCGTCTCCTCTTGGTGTTTGGAAATCGGACGAAACACTGTCTCTTGTGTTTGATATATTACTTCAAGTTCTTACTTTGGCACAAGTGAAAAGCTTGAAAATGGAGATTTAGAAATTCAGCGTTAACAAGGGATTAAAGTGTCAAAAAATGCTCAAAGGTTGAGTGGTTTGTGATAAACCACAACGTTACTAATAAGCTGGTAAGTGTTGCATGTTATTAATAATATATCAGGTTCAGGTGGTTTATTCATCTTGTATGAATTTTAGTTTCAAAAATAATCAAACTACATGTATACGCATTCGGAACTTCTCAACATAAGGAAATGTAGGTTTAAAGGATTCCCTTTTAAGACTCAGTCAGAGCAATTAGAAAGTCAGTATAAGAAGCAAGGATTCTAATGTAATTTCTGTCCCGTTCAAGCGCAAAAATGAGTTCAAGCGCAAAAATGAGTGCGCATGCTTATGCCATGAGAGCGATTCACACGCACATGGGACTGGGGACGATAATATTTCCATAGCAACAGATCTTGTATTAAATTACAAGATCTTTGTTTTTACTTGGGCTTCAATGAAAACAAACGTTTCGTAATTTTAAAAATTGTCGCCAGTTGGGCGCCGGCCTGTTTCTGTGGGAAATATTGTGGTTCCCAGTCTCATGCGCGCAGGATACGAGCATGCGCACTCATTTTGCCGCTTTGTCATAGCTCTTCGGAACAATCTCGTTCCCAGAGGTCGCGATCCATGAAAAAACGCGCGGGCTCTGGGGAGGAGGCTACTCTACGAACAGCTGTAACAAAAAAGCAAAGCAAAGCAAAACAAAATTTAATTTTAACATGTACTACCGTTGGTGGTTTGAAGTTTGCGTCGAAATAAATCTGTGCCACGCGTTCACGGGCAAACATTGCCGCCATTTTGTCTTCGTCTTCAATAAGACCAGAAAGTTTGCTTTCTTCCTAAGATAGATAAATGAAACCACACCACGATGTTTAAACTTGAGTTTTGTTTTTAATGATTACTGGTCATCACAATGAATTTAAAATTTAATTTAAGTTTAACTTGAAGAGCTTTACAAACAGTCAGGCAGTTGAAATTTTACAAGCCTGAGTTAACGCCGTCTCTCTTCCCGCGCTCAAGAGACGTCTGAGATTCAACACGAAAAATTCCATACTGATGACGTAGCTCTACAGAGATCCGTGTAGTGTCTCTGATTGGTTGTTTACTTGCACGCGAAAATTCAAACCGAGCAACAACCAATCAGAGACACTACACGGACCTCTGTAGAGCTACGTCATCAGTATGGAATTTTTCGGGTCGAATCTCAGACGTCTCTTGAGCGGGGGAAGAGAGAGTTATGATTGCAGCTTTTCACAGTTTAGATCGGTTCATTAAAGTTCAGTGGATTAAATACAGTTTAAAGTTTTTTTTATTAGCACATTTAAATCCTATAAGGTTAGAAATCCTTTTACTTCTTTGTGACAAGAAGAATAAATTTCATGCTTTTTAAAGCAAAAATCTAAAGACGTTATCTCTATTAACGCAATACATTAGTATCATTTATGCCTCGTGTTTTAAAACATTTTACAGCAATGACAGCTTTATGAACAGTGGTAAAGAAAAAGTGACGATATTAAGTGGAAATGTTAGTTATCTTTCGTTCAAAGCAAGCCACATCGCCTTTTTTAAAGTCTTTACAAAATTTCTGTGCACTATACGAGCCAACACCACGGCAATGAACCCCTCCTATCCCCACTGAAAAAAAACCCCTAATTTGCTTCGCTTTTATACAGCATGCTAAAGGACAGTGACTGTTAGGATACTACGAAAAACCTTGTTTGTTACGTTTACCCAAAAATATTCCAGGCCTTTGTCAAACTTACATGGAAACGTCTTTATAGTCAAAACAACCACACACACAAACCTACCGTTATTAAGCCCGGGCCAAACGAGGATGAGAGTTGCTGAGAGTTGGCTCGCATGAAAGTTTTCCTCATTCCAACTCTCATTGACTATCATCACCTCGAGCCAAACGGGAGAAAAACTCTAAACGACTTTCAAGAAAAAATTTGAGCAGGCTCAAATTCGATAAGAGCGCATCCTTGTTTGGCCAGGACTTGAGAGTAATCCTATTCAAACAGAAGCAACGTCTATCAAAGCAACTTAGAACCCAATGCTGAGAGCGTCGCAACTCAACCTGAGTTTGTACCTGCTGTAGAAGGATCTTTAACCGATGGAAGCTGAACTTGTAGCTGA